TAGCAAGTTGCTTTCATAGCAGTTAAACCTGTAAGTTAGAGGTTGGGCGCTCCTAACAGCTAAAGTATCTCAGTGTTGCTTTAATGGGACATAATCCAGTTGTAATGGCCTGAATTAATTTCCAAAAGGGTTGAATAATAAATGTTCAGATTCTCCTTAGCGTGTGAAGATTTATCCTCATGAAATGATCCCTTTTTCTCTGAAAGATGCATTTCAGTGCATCCGTATTGCTCTGTAGGAGGAGACATTTGGAGGGGAGGCTGTGTGCAGGGCTGCACCAGCAGAAAACCAGAGGTTAAATTTAGCAGAAAGAGCAGTTCTCAATTATTTGCCATTTGATACGAGAGTTTGACCAGCTGTTGATAAATTTCAACCCTTTGGTGTTCCGTTCAGAAATGTCACAACAAGCATCTGGCATGACCAGAGGAGCAGCTTTGAAATTTAGAGAAAGTTTGCAAAATACGAGTGGATCCAGCTGGATCTGACCAGACAACATGTTTACCCATATATTTGGTTTATAAAACATAAAAAAACCAACCCTATCTCTCCACTTCTGCAGGGCTGGCACTGAAAGCGTGACCAGAGGAACTATTTGAGATTCCAAGGCAGCAGTTTCCATGTGAGCAGCAGCAGAACATATGGGAACCAGATCCGTTTAGCATGTTTACTGCAGACTTTAATCTTTACCTCTTTTAACAGCTCCTTCTGAAGGGAATCCACTCAGTTAAAGAAGGCAGTCAATTTTCACATTAAACCTCTGCTAAAACGTTCGGATAGAAAGTGAAACGTTTGTTTTGACTGGATTTTTTACTTTTTTGACACGAGGAAAATAATGGAGGAAAGAAAAGATTCAGCATGATTATTTCATGTAACTTCATAGATTTGTTAATGTTTAAAGTGTTTCAATATCAAAGCAAAAACTATCAGTACCTTTTAACTGATTTAATAATTTGTCATTTAAACTTTATTGCTTATCATTTATGATTTCTATACTTTATACATTTAAATTTCAATTTATTCGATTTAAAGCAAAGGATGCAGTCAGTATTAAAGCTGAAAAAGGCTGACGTTCCTCAGTGCTCCCGATGGCCTGAAGCAAACATGAATTCTTTGCATTCATTAAACTCTTGAGTTTTTTTATGAAACCACAAGAAGGAAAACGTCCATCCTGCTGGAAGTGATGAAAACAGAAGCGGAGGAAAGGGGAACCTTTCCCGCACTGAGAGCTTGAAGCTTCTACTGCTGGATTGTAAAAATTGTTTTATTGCTGCCTGGAAGCTAATGGTCAGCACCTCACTAGTTAGTTAAAAACATACCTGGTGGTTTGTTGGGGTGTAAGATTACGTTAAAGGGTTGAGCAATGATCTGAGAGACATTCTGGCAGCACATTTTTAATCTCTGCAAACAAATCCAACCTCACTGCAGCCGAGTTGATCTATAGTGCTGCATTAAACTCCAGCTCTCTGATTGGTTGCACCTTGGAGGTGGAAAACAAAAGGATCCTAACTAAATTAACATCTCTTTTGGATAATGTTACCCACCTCATGCATGAAGCTATTGCAGAACTGGAGAACTCCTTCAGTGACAGTCTGCTGCTCCCTAAATGCACCAGGGAGCGTTATCACAGATCCTTCCTCCCAGCAGCTTATAACCATCCCTACTCCTTTATAACCATCCCTACTCCCATTAGCCTCAATAACTTGTTACATTCATGCTGATTTTCACAGTTTATGCCTTAATCAGTTAAATAACATGCTGCGGTCAATTTTCAAATCTTTGTTGTTGCCATTTTCACATATCTATAACTGTAAAAATGTTCACAGCTGTATATTGGTTATTTATTCTCTAGATACACATTTATATTGTAAAAACACTGTACAGTACAGTATTTTGTTTATTCTTTAATTATCTTACCTATTCTGTTTTTTTTTTATACACTTAAGACCCACATTTGGGGGAAGTGATAGGAAGAGGGACAAGGGTCAGCACCCCCCTCCTTAGACATCTTATGCAAAACATTACCTATTGTCACCCAGGTGCAATATTATCCCCTCTCACTGTGCAATAACACATGCCAACTACTGTGTAGTCTGTATAATTTACAATCTTTTTATATTGTCTGTCATTTTTTTTTTTTTTATCTTTAATGACATCTTGCTTTAACTCTTTGTACTCTATATAAGCTACTGGAACCAGAATTTCCCTGAAGGAAGTAATCCCAAGGGATAAATAAAGTTGAGTCTATAAACATGTTCGCTATAACCTTTTTCTTCTGCTGTAACACAATTTCTGCAATGTAGGACAATAGATTAGTTTCTTTTCTATTCTATACTATAATATGATGCTTGATTGTTCTGCTTCTTTTGAATTCAAAATCTAACATTGCTGCTTAATTTAAAGCCTGTTGTATTAAGCATATATAGAAAGGGTTGATTATTAGTTAAAATACTCAACGTCACAATTAACTATCCATCCACCCAATGGGCGAGAGGCAGGGTACACCCTGGACGGGTTGCCAATCCATCACAGGGATTGGCAACCCGTCATCCCATCACAGGGCAACACAGAGACAAACAGAACAAATTCTAAGTAGAATTTAGAGAAACCAATTAACCTAACGGTCATGTTTTTGGACCATGGGAGGAAGCCAGAGTACCCAGAGAGAACCCATGCAAACTGCAGAAAGACCCCACTGCAAGGCAGCAGTGCTACCCACTGCTCCACTGAGCAGTCCCACATTTAACTAATTTATCAAATATTACTGCAGTTGAAATAAAAAGTTAAAAATTAAACATGGCTCAGAGGTTGGTCAAGTTAGGGGAATAAAATCAAAAGAACAGTTTAATGTTTACATTCTGTAGCTTTGGGAAGTCTGGGATTGATTCTAAGAGAGGAAATCAAAAACAGATGATTTTAAAAAACGACAAATCGACATCAATTCAGTTAAACATAAAAGATGAAAAAAAAAATGTCTTTTTTATGTTTTTATTTAACAAGCTGGTTCATAAATTATACACATAAAAGATTTGTTTTTTTTTTCAGTAGTTACAAAGTGGATATCGACTGTAGCGCCTGAAAAAATAAAATCACCATGAAGAAACTTGCAGACGGGTGAAAGTTCATGTTTGATGAATCCAGAATCCAGTCAGCGGATTAGAGAAGACCGGAGGTTTAAAAAGCCCTTCCAGCCCCATCGTGTCTCCAGACGGCTGTCGTCCAGCAGCAGACAAAACCCGTACATGCTGTTAGCATTTCCAAGCACATGCTGAGCTCTTGTTCTACGGTCTCCAGTGTGTTCAAAAAGGGTGGAAAGGTAAAACTTAACGTGATTGGGTAACATTTTCACAAAAGGAAAAAAAAAAAAAAAAGAAAAGCACAGGCTACATGTGAGGCTCCACAAAAACAATCTGAACTAAGGAAGTGGCTTCTTCATGGCTCAACTCTTGGGATCGCTGGACTGAAATGGTTCAATGAAGCAGAAACCTTCTTCTTATTGATCATTCAAAACCTTCTAACAGTTTAAAAAGTCTCCCTCCTTTCTTTCTGACAGTTGAACTGCTGACTGATAAACTTCCATGGTGGATTTATTTACCATGTCTCTCTAAAGGATGGAAAGGAATCCCCCCTAAAACTGGCCTGGCACCAGTGTACAGCACACCAGGCTGGAGTCTCTTCTCCCTTCAGTGTGAGGAATGGAATGTCTGAGCCGTTTCTCAGCCTGATGGGAGCCTACTTAGGCGTTTGCTGCTGGATGTGCTGCAGGAACTCCTGGTAGGATGAAGCCGACTCAGACCGGTCCTCCACCAGGTGCTGGAACAAGGTTGCCTTGGCTGAAGCATCGTCTCTGCAGGAGAAACAAACAGTTTAAAGACAGCATGGTTTAACCCCCTGCACACTTTTAGGTTAATTTAAATATGTTAATATTTAATTTAAGCAGTAAAACCCACCAAAAAAAAAAAAAAAAACTAAGTGCCCTTTTTAAACCGACACAAAAACTATTTTTCTTAAAGAATGATTGAGAAAAATGTGTAACTGAATGCTAAAGATCCACCATTATGGTTTCTTTATTTTTTAAACAGATGCTAATTATTTTAACATCCATCTAATAATTTGTGCAGCTGGTTGTTTGGGACCAACTCTTGAAGACATATAGCTTTTTCTTCTTACATTTCCATAATAAAATGACACAATAACAACAAATGTTACACACTTATCCATTTTTACAACAAAAGAAACAACAAATCAAGCAAAAACAATAATGATAAATAACGAATGGAGGGAGCAGCAATGCATGATTTTTACAGAATATCAAGGAATGGCTGCTGAATGCACTAATGAATAAGTAAACATGTGTGTCAGCTGAAGGCAATAAAAAAACAAAAAGCAAAAAAACAAACAATAAATTGCCCCAAAATTTTGGTCGGCTCATCATTCGGTCTGCCTCTTAGGTAAAAACAATGATTTAACAACAAAATAATTATGAGCTCATCTACATAGTGATAATAAGAATAAAATTTTTTTACTTTCTCTATTTGAATGTAGTTTTTACATTGATTAATGTTTTAGATTTGCAGCTAAAAATCAGACTTCCTGTTTCTCTTTGGAATGCCTTTAATGTGATGAACAGGCTACCCTCTCTTTGCAGCCTTCCAAAGTGGGAGAGGCATAAGAACAAAACATTAAGTGAGAAATACGCATCAGTCGTTCAATATTAGTCACACTAATAAATTTGCTAATTTCTATAATTTCACGAGGTTTTAAAAAACAGAAGTGTGACCAATCAGATGTGACAAGGACTTCATGAACCATTACAAGTGATTAAAAACAATATTAAAATGGAAAAAGCTTTATTGTAAAGTATGGTGATGGATCTGTGATGATGTGGGCCATTTTCCCCTCCAGGGGCCCTAGGAACCTTTTCAGAGTGCATGGCTTCTTAAAGATCCAAGAAATAAATCTGGTGACCTCTGACCTAAGGTTGATTTTGGTTCTTTAAGCAAACAACATGATGCATAAGATCAAAATGGCAGAGGAATGTTTCCCCCCCCCCTCAGATAATCAGTCTTCTTCTAAGGTCATCTGGCTCCATGGAGCTAAAGCCCAAATGACACCTTTGGGCTGACCTGAGCAGAAGACATAACTGATGAGACAGAATTCTGCTTTTCTCCACCTCTTTAAAGCATTATGAAAGAGTGCTTATTTTGAATAAGTCGTTCATTACAGAAGTACAAATAATTCTGTTTCATGATTTTATATACCGTAAGTAATTATAATTAGTGTTTCATTCTACATGAAAAAGAAAAAAAACTTTCTTTCCTAAACGTCTGGTGTGACATCATGGAGCAGCATTAAAAGTGAATTAATTTGCCCAGATCTTTACCTGGGAATCCTATAACTTAGGATGGTGGTAAAAAGTCATTGCAAAGGTGGGTTAAAACCATTCCTAATTTAGGAACACTAGACAATATATAAAACCTAGAAAAGAAAAACAAAGAATGAAATCCTGTGCAAAACCACCAAAGCTTTTAAAGATAAACTAAAAAAAGGTGTGACTTTAGGAAAACATCAAGTCATCCAACTGACTCTTAGGAGAAAGACAGGATTCCTTCCCAATGTGATCACATAGTTCAACATTTACGTAATCTAAAGTAAAAAACATGCGTCCAGTTCAATAGCAACTATCTTTCCGCTTGAAAATATGCCTTTGTGACACTGGCAGAAAAAAAACATAAAAAAATCTATTATTTAAACAAGTTGTCGAGATGTCTGAAGTCAAGCTAAAGGAAGAGCTTTAAACTTGACGGACCTCCATTTTCATTTTAGATTCATTTCAGTGAATGTCAGCTCTACTGTCATTTCACATTAACTTGCAAACAACCACTGAAATGCCACTTGGCTCCTTCCTCCTGACATCAGTGGCATAAACATGGGGTTGAACAACAATGCCGCACCGCAAGCAGCTTAGGAAACAGAAACAATGCATTCCCAGCAGATGCCATTACCACTACTCTCAATCAGTGACCTCACTGCGTTTTCATTCTGGAAATAGACTTCAGTCGACCTCAGAATCGTCGACCCTACTACAAACTGTCCACACCCAGTTTCAGTTTGTTAAAGTCCTTGGATCAAGAAAACAAAACAAAAACAGGCATAAAACTTTCAAACATGATATAAATACTAATTTACTTTTTGCTAATCCAAAAAAAAAAAAAAAACCTGCAAAACTGACTTCTAAAAAGATGCTCTATCCTTTGTCCACAAAATGTGACTGTTGCAGCTGGCATTTCAGCTACTGAAGCAATCACACGCACACAGAAGAAACAGTGTTGTGTAACTCCACGTTTCACAAGAACCAGTTCTAAACTTGGTTTCCACATAATAAAACCTACAAATTCCCACATCATGTGTTACCGTATATTCAATTGGAGATGTTCTGATGCAAATTTTTCTCTCCTGATACAATTCTCATGCTTGTGCTGTAAATATCGGCTGATAAGTATGTTATATATATATATAATCCTACTAAGACTGCAAATTTAAGCTATTTATTTCTAAATATAACAGTATAAATAAACAGTAGCATGCTCCGTCTCAGACAGGTGTCGGGTTATCAGCTCTTTGCCTGCCTAAAATAGCAGGTGGCAACACAGAGCAGCTGTTTAAAGAGCGGCAGAGATAACTGTGTCAGAACTAACCGGTAAATAGATTCTTATTATAAATTAAATGGTATCGGATCAGTGCCTGGACTCCAATACTCACCGATTCCGATGCCAGCATTTTCGACATCATCAGAGGCATTTCCCATTCTGATATAGGTATAACTCTATATTAGATATAGTCGAATAACCAACTTCATAAAAATGTAGGCGGGTCACTTTGTGTCAATAATATCATTAATAACATCATTCTGTAAAATTAGCACTTCTGTTTCCGGGGTGATATTTTAGAGGCGATAGCTACAAGTGCCTGCTTTTATTAAGTAGCGTTTGCTAAACATTTAACTTACCTGTGCAGAAGAAAAGAGGCAACTGCAGGCTTTTAAGCTCCCTCGCCTCCATAAGTCAGCACTAATGTTTAAAAACGTAACCAGTCATTGCTATGTTTTTGTGGCCAAAATTTGAGAAAGGTCAGGCTGAGATAAGATATAAGAGAGAAGATATATTTTCCAGAGCTGTTAGGGAGGTAGGCCTGGGCGTTAAAACCAGATTTTTACCGTTACCATCATTCACTATGATAACCAGCTACAATTTTCCCATGTCGGAAAAGAAATAAATGTAATTTTGCTGTTTTGCCTGTGTGCACTGGTGGCTGCTATTTCCTTCCCCTTTAAGACAAGGCAGAGTGTGTGAAATCACGCATCTCCACCGATCCAGACAGAGGCGTAAACAAAGAGAATGGCAGATGAGCCCAGTGAAGAAGCGTCTAACACAGCTGTAAATGAAATTACATCAGTTAATTCTGTGATGGCGTGGCAGACCGGTTTAGGATGAGGGTGTGCAAGTTTAACAATGCTCATTGTTCTCAATGCACGCTCAGTTAAGTGGCACGATAATTACACCATAGATGTTGAGAAAAAGAACCCAAAATACAAAGTTGAAAACTGTCTGGACTACCTAAAGCAACACATCCAACCACCACTACCTACTGACAGCCGCTCTGTTGAGTTCAAAGATGCGCAAAAGGCTCCATTTCCGTTGTGCAAAAACGCAAGAGAGGTTACATTTTTCCCCTGTTCAATGAGACATTGTTGAATCTTTAAACCTGAAGAGGTACAAGACTTTAATATCTAATAGAAAGTAATCTGTAATGTGATTGATTCAATAAATAAATTATAAAAAGATCAGTTGCATTTCTTGCACATGCCTTTATTTCTGATAGAGCAGCCAGAGCATTTACTGTTGCCAAGGTAAAACTTTCCAGTTTATTGTGATATTGATCAGAGGTCATATCGCCTAGCCCTGTGTAAGTAGTATGATTTAGCAACAGGTCTGGCCTAACACGACTCCAACCTACAATATTCCTTTACGTTTTAGACCCATTAAAATGTGTTAAACTATTATGTAAATGCATTTTTTTTTTCAGTAAAACATATTTTATCCTGAACCAATCTAAAAGTGCTGTACATGTATTTTTATTTTAAATTTAGAGTTTTGATTCAAGGCTTATAGCTAAGATTAGATTAAGACAATACATCTAATCTCTGATTTTTTTCCTACAAAATCTGATTAACCGATTTTTTTCTTCAATTAGGTTTCATAATAAAGATAATATATTCCTTTCAAAACTAGCTTTGTTTTCAATCTTCCGCTCTTGGATGTGACCTTAATTTCAAGGGCAACAAAAATCAAGCAGAGAAAAATGCTTGTAAAACAATCATGTTTAACAACAGACAATAATAAAATAACACACTAAATGCTTGCAGCTAGAGGTGTCACAAAATGAGCTCCTTTATTAGTTAGGAGTATATATCTAAGATCAAAAAGCGATGAATTGATGTCACTGAGAATCCAAACTTTCCAAAAATGTAATGGCCATAAATAAAAAATGTGCTTAATCAATTTTATTGATCAATCGCCCAGGGGGCTTTGCAGCAAAAGTCCCGGAACCACTGATGTAGCGTATAAATCCCATTAAGATGCATTGGAACTTGTGATTGGAATGTAATGTAACACAATCTGAAGACATTTAAAACATGTGAATACTTTTGCACTTTGGTCAAGCACAGATCATTTCAAATGTAGTAATAAAAAGAAATATGGAGACATAAAAAACCCCCCCAAAAATAAGTTTTATCTGGACAGAACATATGGAGGCCTGGTTGCTCATAAACAGCTACAGAGAGAGGTGAGAATCCAGTTGTGCTTACTTGACGATGTGGATCGGAGAACTAAACGCTCTGTTGTCCTGCAACCAGCCCAGAAACGCCCGGACTCTCTCCGACAGAGGGGTGTGCAGCTCAGGAATGTGACTCTGAGTGTGACAGAGGGAAGAAATAGGACAACCACAACATCAGCCAACACTGTTCTTACTATGTCCCACACTATGTGCTCTGACTCCTTCATCCAGGACACACAATGTATTCAACAGAAACATTCCTGTGGCTGGAAGTGCGGGATTGTAGGTAGCTCAGGGAGTAATCATCCCATTGTTTCAGAAATAAAACGCGGAACATAAACAAGAGGCTGACATGTGCTGTTTGTTCTGGGTGTTGCCATCACGCCCACAGAGCAGCGATGACTAAACTTTCTAGGTAGCTTCTGTTTGTCAAAAAGCTTCAGCAGCAAATTTGTTCTGCTGTATGTGTGGTTTTCTTTACAAGGTAAACAGAAAAAAAGCAAATCAGTCATTTTTTTAGAAGTGATGAATTGCAAACTGCAGAGAGGGTTCATGCAAGCGTTCAGCAGAGTTTTCTATGCATTTTGCTGTTGTGATGCTGGTAGATGAGATCAGAAATGCTTTTCCACCTGGTACCTCTACTCACCATGTTGGGAGGTATTGAAGCGTAGTTGGAGCAGCCCAGAACATCTCTGATAAACAATTCGTTGCAGCTTTTCCCGATCCATAGATAAAACACCTAAAGATAGATGGGAGAACAGATCAAAAAGGAGAGATGACTCCTGCATATTAAAAATTTCAAAATTCAGTAGGCTCACAGACATAACGCTTAAATTCTAAAGTCTAGAGCCCAAACAACATCCTAAGAATGTTATCAGTAGGAAATATAAAGGATTTATACGGCCTTCAGCCATTAAAACAAGAAAGCACTTCCATACATGGATAATGACGCAGCGTTTGTAACGACCCATCAGGAAATCTCTCACTGTAAACACAGGAGAGACTGATTTCTTGACTCGGCTGCATTCTAGCTGCTTATTGACAGAAGAAAATAATGGCATGGTGGGGTTGGCGGGATAATCTATGCCAGAAACGTTATGGCTTTTATATGAGGATAAACTGGTAGGGAAGGTGGAAGCCTCTCTGTAAGAGACCTTTTCGCTTTAGGATTATAAAACCTGTCTTTACAAACAAATGTATGTACATATTGTATCATCAACACATATTTTTGTTGGTTTGTAGTGTATGTGTGCTGCAAGTCCTAAAACCTAAAGTCCTTACAAAATATTTGGACAGTCTCTCCCAGCACAGAATGCTGCATTACACTAAAAACAGACGCTACATCACAGTTAGTCAGTAGCTTTTATTTGTTCCAGTATGGGCAATTTTTGTGCACCAGTAGTACACCTTTCACACACACATTCACACTTCACACATAAAAACACAAGAAACACATAAAATATTTTAAGAGGATAAAAGTAAAGTGGATAAATAAATATGTGAAGTGAATAAATGCGTAGGCCTATTTGGTGCAACCTATGCTTTCCCTAGTAGAGTTTAGCAGCTGAACAGCAGAGGGAATTTACCAGGTGGCAATAGTCTGACAGCATGTGAGACCGACATATTGTCTTCTAATAATATTTTTACATTACAGTACATTGGAAATTGTAAGTGTTTCACATATTTCATTCATCTTCTTTTTTAATCAATAATAGGTTCATGTTTTGTTAAATCTTAAAACTCAGTTTAACACTGAGTAACAAAACATTATTTTATTTTTTTTTACTCAGTAATCAGTACAGCGGCACAGTTAATTATTTTTCCCAAAGATAAAAAATAGATCTGCAAATTGTGGAAAAATATGAAGCCATTTCTTACAGAAAAATCCTCTTCATACAAGAGAGGAAACAGATTTTTCGAAGTAAATACTTGGTTATCGATTGATTGTTGATTGATAAAATGGATCATCCTCATAATAATTCATTAACTGATAAATCTCCTTGCTTTTCTTCAATCTTGAGCATTAAAGCTGATTCTAAATCACTGATTTAAAAGGAAGCAACAAGCAAAATTCATATATAGAGGAAACAACTTTAAGGGGAGGCCATAAAGCTGAGTCAGACCACTACAGTGACTGCGGCTGCAGTTTTTCAGCAGGTTTCCCAGATAAGAAACGCTTTAGTTTACCCTTTGTGATCTATTTTAAAACAAATGCTAAATGGCCTGTACTTATATAGCACCTTTTTCCAGACAGGAGGCTTGAAAAAAGCGCTTTACTCTACATTCAGTCATTCACCCACACACTGATGGTGGCAAACTACATCGTAGCCACAGCTGCCCTGAGGCTGCCGTACACTGGCGCCACCAGTCCCTCTGACCACCATCAGTAGACAACGCGGGTGAGGTATCTTCCCAAAGACCAAATTGACAAAGAAAGCTGAAGCCAGTGCTTGAACCGACAACGCTTTCATTGCAGGGCCACTGCACTGGCGAACAGTGGCGTCAGATACAGGTTGCAGCAAATTGCATAAATCATCTCTACCTTCCAATATTTGTGGTGAAGGTTTACCCAAATTAATGCTGCACGTAACCTAATCTTTACCACCAGGACTCATTAGATGCATTAACTATGTGGGAATCATTCACATAAGACAGGTTCATTGAAAAGGGATCTAAAATAAAACAGAACATGTGATTTAATGGTAGAAATTAGCAATTTTGTGTCACAGAATGAATTAAAAACTGAAAAAAGACGACATTTTCATGTTTTCTCCATTCCTAGTTACAATGGATACAAAAAAAGAGAAAAATACTGAGTTAATGAATAAAAATAAAACAAAAGTCAAGATTGAGGAGACGAAAAAAACAAAACTAATTAGAAGTTCAGAGGAAGATGTCAGGGACGTTTCCAGAGTTTTACAGAAGACTGTAGCTTTTAGTTAGAAAGAAGCCAGGTGATAAACATTAAAATATTAATGAGAAATAACCATTACTCACATTGCCACAGTCCATGAGGAAGGCTCCATCTCTGCTAAGTCTCTCAGCAGAAAGATGCAGCAGTTGGGGCTGAGGAACTACAGCGTCATTCAGATGGAGCGCCCCCTGCAGGTCACACACAGCAGTAAAAGATATGGCTTTGAGTAACGAATCAACTGTGAAACGGTAACACTGAGAAAGACTCCAGCAGGTAAGAAACATACAGTCGACAGTGTGTCAAACTTAAGTTTTCTTTAGTAAAACAACTCTAATGCATGGAGAACACAACATAAGCAGATTAAACCTAACATACAAGGGATTTTTTTTAAAAACAGAGATGCAATATTAAAAATGTTATTGGTCCCGATTGCAAAGAAAATTCTAGATTCATTATAAGCGACATTAGGCCTAATCTATAAGGGCAAATCTGTTCAATCTATTTCTATTATGAAACATCATGTGATAGTGACACAATGTGAAAAGTCCCTTTTTTTTTTTTAAATGGATCAGCATCAATCATCTGTAACTTTTTCACACTGCCTCAGTCAACAGCTAAGTGGAAGTAAACAAATAAAAATGGTAAATTTCTAATCTTAGAGATGAAAATTTGTTTTTAGGATGGGCATTTTAACACAATTATTTGATATTGCATCATGTTTACATTCATATATGATCCTTGATTGTAGAAATGAGTTTATTATAACTAGGGCTAGGTTAAAAAAAGCGATTTAATCAATTTCGGATAGATTCCTTTACATTTTTGCAAAATTGATGGGTAGGGAATGAGATTGATTACTTTTATAGTGATACGTGTGAAGTTCACATTTTATTTACAAGTTTGCACTTTGTGTTTAATATGACAGGAAAAAAATAATAATTACATGAGTATTTTGAAACACAGTTGAACCACTTTCATTATTGTAAAAACAGATCAAAGCGATTTAGAACTTTATGAAACAAAATCAAATCGATTCAGGACTTTGGCCAAAATACCCAGCCCTAATTATATCCCCTTAAAAGAAAAAGAAAAACTCAAAACAAAAGAAAAAATAAAGAATAATGATAAAAATCTAAGCAGTATCAGCACAGTATAGCAATTGCCAGTTATCCAAATACAGGCATCGGGATTGGATAGGATGTGAAAAAAAGTGGATCGCTGCATCTTCTGGTTTTAATAAGCCAGCACATAAATATGTTTTGGTTTGATAAGGGAATAAATCCCACCTGGTCAGACATGTTGTCCAGCCTGTAAAGGTCGGGATGAACCATCCGCATCAGCTGAGGCAGCGGCTGCGTCTTAAACTCACACATGGCAAAGATGCGCTCATCCAGCCGGGTGCTGGTACCCGTCCGTAGTGCTTTCTGGAACAAACAGAAATAATTCCAACAATTAATTTTTCCCCTTTAGGATTAGTGGATGGATAAATATAAGATGGGAGAGAAGAATGAAATCTTGTCTAGATGGCTTGATGAAAACCATTTTCATAAGATAGATGAGTAACTGACAATAATGGGGAGATTATGAGAAAGTAAGTGTAACAATAGATGGATAATCAGTTTAATAATTGATTTATAAAGATCCTTAAAAAAAAAAAA